CGCTCCAAGCGGCAGGCAGCACTCAAGAGGCCGGCGACGTACAGCATCGACCCGCTCGACGACTCTTCCCGTCTCAAACGTCATCCGAACAAGCTGCCTAGCTTGGTGGCAAAGTACGCTGCTGTGCCGGTCAGCAAGGCCAAGGGCATCGACAGCTTGCTGCGGGATCAACAGCGCAGGAGCAAGCGCGGCATAGACGCCGATGGGTTCTCGCGGGCAGAGGCGATCGCGCGAAGCATGGAGCAGGAGCGGCTGGGGCGCATGGGCATCGCCTGTTGTGACGACAGCGACTCGGACGATCGCCGCGCTGGTCCGAGTCGACACTCGAGATCTCCGAAGCTTGACTCATCAAGGGCGAGTCGAGCACAAGCTTCCGCTTTTGCTTCAGCACGCAACATCAATGGCAAGGAGCCGCAGCTGACAGTCAAGGCGTTGTCTCCGACCATCCCGTCGTTTCTGTGGTCTTCGCAGTCGGAGGCGGCTGACTCGGATGACGATGCAAGTGATGAGGCGGATTCGAGGACTGCAAAGCATCGACTTGCGGCTTCCCTTGCTGCTGTCGGGGCGGATGAGGACGAAAAACAGTTGGCGCTCGACATCCTCCAAGCTGACATGGGCGAAGGCAAGGGAGACGCTATGCAAAAGTCTAAGGGCCACATTACTTTTTACAGGAAAGGAAAGGTGCTCGCTCCCACTACAACCTTCTTCTGTCCCCTGCCCTCGGTAACAAAGAGCACGCCTCAGGACACCAATCCATCACCAACAGCACCCGCGCCGGCCACAGTAGCGGCAGCAGCAGCGGCAGCAGATGCACCACCAGTCTCGGACGAGCTCGAGTGGAACACACTAGCGCGGCACATCCTACTCGCCGGCTTCCTCCCGCCCTCGCTCGACCTCGACAAGCGCCAGATCCGACGCATCCTCGTCTGGCTGTCCATCTCGTTCGTGCTCGAGCAAGACGCCATGCAAAGCCGGCTCATCTCGACGCTCTTCCAGTCGCTGGTCTTCGACAGCGCCAAGTCGCACTACCATCGACACCTCGAGTCGGCGATCCCCAAGGCGCTGACCGATGTAGTAAAACACGTCCCCCACATCCTCTACAGACTCGGAATGGACGACGACGTGTTCGAACAGTGTTTCCCGGACAACTCCAAGGTGACGGATGTGCCGCTGTTCACTGTTGCGCAGCGCAAGCCGACGTCCTCGCAATCGCAAGCACAGCAAGAGGGCACGAGCCGGTCGTCGCCCAGTGCCGAGTTCAGCGAGTTCAAGGTCTACCTCACGCAGGCCGAGCGCGACGAGGCGCTGATCAGCCTCGCGCGCATGCTCGACATGATCGCATGCGTGCGCAACCCCACGCTCGTCGCGGACAACCTCACGGTGCTTGCGGGCTACATCGCGAGCATGGCCGTCGCGTGTGCGGCCACGACGAGCTTTTCGCTCGCCAACCAGGCCGGTGCTGCGTTCACCAGCATCTTGCGCGCCGCGGCACGAGCGGGCGGCGAGACGCTGCGCACGCTGCAGGAGCACGTGTGTCGGAGGACGTTGAGCGCGCTGGGCACCGATGCGGTCGCGGTGCGCGCGAGGCTGGTGGCCGTGTTTCCCGGGGATGGGAGCGAGGTGGGCGCGGTACGCAGGTGGCTCGCGTGGTGTGCGCTGACGGAACACGTGGCGCCGACGCAGGCTCTGGCAGCCTCGCCGGTGGGGTCGGATGCGGTTCCATCGTCGGATCCGTTCGCAGACGAGGTGGAGGAAGTGCAGCCGCAGCCGGCGGACGCGAACGAAACGGCGCACTGGCGACGCACCGCGTTCGACGCGCTGACTCTCGACCTCGACCTGCTGATCGCCGCGGTGGACGCGGGCGATGCGCGGTCCCCCTTCTACATCGCGCCTCTCGTTGTGAACAGCGGGAAGGACGCGGCAGCTGGAGCGGAGAAGCACGAGCAGACACACGAACGCGCCCGCGCCCACGCGCCACTCGAACGCAGCACCAACTTCGAAGCCCTCCTCGCGGGCACGCAACTCCTCGCACACACCCTACGCGACCTCCCCGTCCACATGTGCACCTTCCACCACCCCACCAGCAACCGCAAACCGCCACGCGCGCTCCGCCTAGCCCTCGCACCCTACAGCGCACACCACGCGCAGCTGGACGCCAAACGCACCGCGGCGCTGCACACGCTCGTGCAGCGGCTGGCGCACGTCAACAGCCGCATCCGCGACAACCGCGCCAACGTGATCCTGCAGACGCTCGCGAAAGATGCGCTGCACAGGACAGCGCTGGCGGTGGAGTATCAGCTCGGCGTGTACGGCGCGCCCGGTGCCGTGGGCGGTTCGTTTTTCCAGTGATGCCCGTGTAGGCTGCAGTGGTATTGTGCTTGGCTGCGTTGGGTTAGAGTGTGTCTAGTGTGAGAAGTGTGTGTGAAGCGTGAGCGTCAGTGCGGGTGCGCGATGAGCTGAGGCGGCGGCACGCACGATCCTCTGCCCGCAGCTCCTCCGCTGCAACGCCAACCCGCATCCCCTCCACGCACTGCACACCGACACTCATGCTCAACCCTCACAACCTCGCACGATCACACGCCACGAAACCACGCCCGATTCCATGCGTACACTCACTTGCATTGCGCTACACACTCCAACCCGCCTCCCCTCGCCTTCCAGCAGGGCTACACTCAGCTAAACGAGCCGGCAAACATCGCTACCAGCGTGACCCACGCGCCCCTGCCCAGGCTCTCGAGGCCCTCCTCGTCGACCATCTTATTACAACAGTCCAGGAGGCCGTCGTAGCGGCGGACGACGGGCGCGCCGAACTCGGCGGCGGCCTCGGCGGCGGTCTGCTCCTCGATGGGGCGCAGGGCGATGACGGGCTCGG